CGTATTGCTGGTGGTTTGAATGGCTGTGTCTGCACTCACACTTGAGTGTCAGTGCCCAGTTTCACATCATTGGGGATGGTGTTTGACGGGACTGACGCTGTTCTGAGAGAACAAGTTCTTGTCCTCAAGAACAGGTTTGACCGCCTCAAGAGAGAATCATTACAAAGCAAGGCGACTTTGTTTTACCTCTTGTAGTGACTCCATTCTCTGCCTGCACTTGCACTGCTCTAACATGCATGCCACCACGTGATGACCACGCTTTCTGCTCCCAGGCCACTGACTAGAAGCTAGTTCTATCACCTCTTAAACCTCTTAAACCTCCAGATCTATGAGCTAAATAAACATTTTTTTTTGTTTTATCTTTAATGTATCTGACCTCAATTATGTTCTTACACAGCACAAAATAAGCTGAGATGATGGGTGAACTCTCTTGTACATCTTAGAGTCTCTGAATAGTGGCTCAGAAACATTACTTCTGAAGCTTACACTGAGGAGGTGAACATGGGATGCTTCATCATAGGAGGCAGAGAGGGCCATGCACCTGAGTTTCAACTTCAGTAACCACACTACGAAGTCAAGCAGAGGGAAGCAAGGAAACGTAGACATTTTCTGTGCTGATATGAAAATTGCAGTTTTCTAACCACCGCAGACAGTTTCTCTTTTAAAATGTTGACAACAAAATGCAAAGAGAGAGAAAGGAAAAAAGAAAACCCCAAAGCATTAGCAATCAGTATTTGTGAATATCGTGCACCATGCACAGAGTTCGTTAAAAAGAAAAGCCCTGACCAAAACAAATCTCAGAAGAAATAACAAATTAAAGAGAAAAATAAGGAGAGCCCAGCAGGATGGTGAGTGTCTCTGAATAGATAAGCTGGGGAACTTGGGGTCATTCTGTTAACAACACAGCTAGGCCCCCCCTTAGGAAAAGCAAAATAATCAAACCAAAGCAGCCAGCCAATTGGCTTCAGTCATGAGGGAAAGCAGCTTGGCCATCTCACCATGCTGCAATAATACAAGACTCAGAATGTAGTCATCAAAGAGAAGAGAATTGGGAGGACAAGACAATGCTCAGGCTTCATGAAGCCAGCTTCTGAGGAATGGCGGTGAACCCTGATAGCCATGACTAAAGGGAAGGGGAAGCCTGTGAGCAGAGACCTTAGCCCGGCAGTTGAGTTCATTAACTTGGAGTCCCAGAGCATCCTTACTCAGAGTAGGCTAGGTATAGCATGAATGAAAATCAAGGCAGGCCTGGCCAGTCCTTAACTGTACAGCAAAGGGGAGGAAAACCTACAAACTAACTAGTCAGAATTCAGAGACATTTGTCTGAGCATATTTTAAGAAGGTATTTTTGTCTTTTCTAAGCACACAAATAAAAATAACTATAGATATGAATAGCGAGTTTTATATAAAAAATTCAATTCACTATATCATAAATAAAATGTCAAGAGGGAGAAAGGAGATACAGATGGGAAGTCTCCATAAAAGTTCTGCTCTATCAGTGTGCTGCCAGGCTGCATCAGGGCTTTGGAAGGAAGTTCTGGTCCCAACTTCTTGTGACTTCCAGTCCACTGACTGGCTGCAAAGCCTGAATGGCTGGAGGCTGATCATTGGTTATAAAGCCTACTTCAGAGACAGTGCTATCTTAGAAAATCAAATACCAAAGAGTGAATGTGAGGTCTTCAGGAAGGTGTGGCTAACAGCCTGATTTATAAGGTACCAGCAATTCTTGCTGATGCTTGTTGAAAACCTGTGGTCATCTGCATTTCTACAAAGATCAAGGCAGCAAAGACTCTGGAAGGTGATCAGTGCCCAAGGAACTGTTTTTGGCCATTGTGTGCTCTGGGCTATGAATGTAGGTATGAGCACGCTTTAGTTGAAGAACTTGAAGCTGGAGATCAAGGGAGACCAGTGAAGATAGCTGTGAGTGCAGGCCCTGAACCATACACCTAGAGGCTCTGTCTAGATGCTCTGCACCACCTCAGAAGAGAAGGTGGAAAACCACCCCAAACACCCAGATTCTTCTTTTTGGAATACAAACTGTACATAGTGGGTTATGAAAAATGCTAATAATAAAAGACTAAGCTGGGAGGTGGTGGGGATAGATCTGGATAGAGGAAAGAGTAAGAGTGAATAGGATCAAAAATATTGAATTTGGTTTTAAAATAATTAGTAAAAATATTATATTTTAAATGTCTGGTTTCCAAAAATGTTACATAACCTGGAAGGAAACAGAAAAAAAAAAAAACTTGGAATAGAAATTGTCAAAGGGGTAGGAATGTATCTTAGTTAGTGAGGTGCTTGCTGGGCAAGCATAACATTATGCCCATAATGGCTGCTTGGGTGAAATAAAGGAGACAGGTGGATTTATGAGAATGCTTTCTGGCCAGCCAGCCTAACTGAATTAGGGAGTTGAAAGGTCAGTGAGAGATCCTACTCCTAAAACAAAATGGATGGCTTGTGATTTCTGAGGACCAAAACCCGAGGATTTCATATGGTCTCTTTTTGCATGTGTGCACATATGAACACACTCACACACACGAGCACACACAAACACATACACACGTGCAGTCACACATCACTGAGGGTTCGCATATGATAGATGTGCTAATAAGAGATTTTAAGTCTGCTGTATTAAACACTTTAAAAGATCCACAGGAAATCATATCTAAATAATTAAATGAAAATATTATAATCAGATCTTATAAACAGCAGTTAAAAGATAGAAACTATTTTAAAAGAACACAATAGAAATCCTGGCCTTGAAAAGTACAATGACTAAAATTAAAATTTTCACCAGTGAGAGCGAATGACAATTTTAGGAGATAGGTCAAAGGAAGAGAGGCCAGTACAGATTTCCGAGTAATTGGAGCTAAGTTCAGATTGATGGAGACAGGCATCAAGTAGGAATCAATCAAACTACTGACAGCATCAGTGGTTTCCAGATGAACTGTGGGATGAATAGAAAGAAGACAGGGGATGTTCTATGCCATGCACTATGTATACAATATCAATGACAAATGCATGCCATATGTGTTTGTCAAAACCATGGACCATCTAACAGTCTATAATGTGAACTGTGGGCTCTGGCTGGTAATGCTATGTCTACTGGCTCAGATGCTCAGTTGCAACAAACACACCCACTAATGTGGTTGCTGTTAGTAGGATAGGGAGTGCGAGTGTGGAAGCAGTAGAATATAAGCCCTCTTTCCAGTTGTTTACAAAATAACAATGTCTCTAAATAACAAAGCTAATGCAAAGCAGAGAGATGATACATACATACATAGATATACTTGTGTGAATGTAAAAGTTGTTCCGCAGAATACAAGGAACCAAAAAAAGAAGGGGGGGGGTAGTTAATAGGACCTGGAGAGGACAGGAGTTCCACAAGGACCAAATATATCTAAGCATAGGGTTCTTTTATGAGACTGTTTCTCCAAACAAGGACCATGTATGGATGCAATCTAGAGCCCCTGCTCAGCTGTAGCCCTTGGTAGCTCAGTATCCAAGTGGGTAGCCTAATAAGGGGAACAGGGACTGCTTCTGACATGAACTCGATGGCAGGCTCTTTGCACCCCCCCCCCCGGGAGAAGCAGCCTTGCTAAGCCATAGAGAGGACTTTGCAGTCAGTCCTGAAGACACCTGATAAACCAGTATCATATGTAAGGGGAGGAGGTTCTCCCTTATCAGTGGACTTGGAAAGGGGCAGGGAGGAGATGAGGGTGGGAGAGTGGGATTGGGAGGGAAAGAGGGAGTGGAATACAGCTAGGATACAAAGTTAACAAACCATAACCAATATTAAAAAATAATTATAAACTACATAAATAATGTAAAGAAAACATTTATATGACTTCATTTCAGCAATGAATATAATAGATTCATTTTGAAAGTTTGCATATAAATATTGAAAGTTTAAATACAAAAAAAAAGTTGTTAAGTTAAAATTTTACGTATATATAAACTTAGCTTGGGCATAAGAATAAATGTTTACATATTGTTGTTAGGGATTATGCTATTTTAGTAAGTTAATGGTTGTAGGGTCTCCTCCTGTAACCATGGCTCCATTAGCACTGAGTATTAGCTAGGTTTACAATGCAATAACTCCCTTCTTGGTGAGTAGTTCTTAATATCAACGAGAAAATGGCTAATTCCAAGGTACATGTGCCACTACTGCACCTTTAGGGTTAGCATGCCATGCTGGTAATTGATTGGTTCATAGATATCATAGTAGGGTAGAACTGTTGGTTGCCTTCCTTCTTTGGAAGCTTACTTGGTGCCTTCTCACGTCCAAAAGCTAGTACTCAAAAAGGGAGCATTCAGGTCAGTTCTAGCTATGATGTCTCTAGACCCTATTTCTGAATTGTATGGTATCATCAGCAATAGGAACTTACCTTCTACCTCTGGGGAGATAATGAGGGCAAAAACAATAAGCTATATGTTTTGGGAACTTGCCAAACATCCTTGGCCAACATCTCACGTGAGGGCTTCTCAGGTCTGGTACTGGGGTTTCTGTGAGGTAGTCTTTGCCTCTTGGAGGAAACATCAAAAGCCCATATGAGAAAAGCTCATTAAAACTATATATGGAATTATGCATAATGTAGATGCCATCTCCACAGTGCAAATAAAGACAGTCTTGATTAATGAATGTTAGGTATTGGGCGTAGGCCAGGATGACAAACCTGCGGCTTATGCTAACACTGGAAAATACTTCTTCTGTTGGAAGGTTAACTCACTGTCATGGCTCAAGGTTAAGGAAATGTAGACAATAGTCCTACTTACTGTGCCCATAGAGACATGGCCAGGCTCCTAGCTAAGTAATTCTTTATTCATCATGAAGGCAGGTGGCAGTGTCAGGAATCATTTGTCCTTTGTCTTTTGGAGTTTCTGTGTATCTAAAAAGAAGAACTTAAAATTCTAACTACTACTAGGTAATCAGAAACAAATTTTGATATAATGTTGTGTAAATATAAATTTGCAGGTGCTAATATCTGCTCTGCTTTTAGATGGCTACCCCAAAGAAGAAATGATTTATCGTTGGAGGAAAAATTCAGTTGAGGCAGCTGATCAGAAATCATGGCGGCTCTATCAGTTTGACTTCATGGGCCTCCGAAACACTACAGAAATCGTGACAACATCTGCAGGTAGGAGCACTTCATGAGGTCAGCTTTCAGACAACGGAGAAGATTGGCCTTTATCCTCTGTGTCAGTCCCAGGCTCCAGACAAGCCCTGGTGGACTGCCACTTGTATGATAATAATAAGTCTTGGCAAGGAGCACCCAGGACCCTATTTGAGACAAAACAGCTGATTTGAAGGTGGAAATATGTTCAAGGTTTACATGTGGGTGAGATGGAAGCAATTAGAACTGACCTGTATTTTTGAATAAACTCTGTGGAGGCATTATATCTGTCAGTCTAACCAGATTGCTCAGGAGTGGCTGGTTTATGAAACCCCAACTGCACTGCTCAGGACTGGGCTGCTTATGAATCTCTTTTACACCAACCATGCATATTCTGCCATATTGACTTCCCTGAGACTCAGTGCCACTGAGAATTCACAAAGAAAAGGAGCTGATGAGAAATGTCCTTTAATAATACATTCTAGTTTTTTCTTTATTGCTGTGAAATTTAAGACAATTTTGATTTTTTGATACATTGAGAACAAATACTATTGTGATCATTTATTCCAAATATATAGCACCACCTATATGACAAGTGGCATGTACAAATCAATATGATTTTTTATGTCTGTGTCTTTCTTTCCTTTTTGTACCTGGTATTTAGTAGTTGTTGTAGTGAACTATCTTTCAATTAGTTAATTTTCTTCTGGCAGGTGTAAAGTGGGAGTTAAAGTCAGGTTTTCTTAAGGTCTTGCTATTTGCTAATGTGCATATGTTTGTTCTTAAAATTCAATAATAAATTCATGACTAGAGTAATATATCAGCTTTTATAACTAAATAAACAATTAAGTATATCTAATTGCAAAATTGCATAGTATATACATGTATATGTATAGTATATATACATATCTTCACATGTATATATGCATACATATGTATGTATATACTATGAAGTTTTGCAATTAGATACGTGTGTATTATATATGTGTATATTATATATGTATTCAGAAGGATCCTGAAGAACTACCTGATAAAACATGAAAGGGAAAGATTTGTTATAGTTGTCTCTGCATACAGCTGAGGGGTACACTTGTGTTTAATGTTAGGTGATAAAGGTTAGAAGAATGAAGGGTCATAACTTCTTTAAGTGGACTGTGGAGGCAGCAGGAAGGAAGATATTTAAGGAAATGTCTTCCTAGTTCTGACTCAGTTCAGATTTTACAAAAATGCATATATTGTCTACTGACCAAAACCCTAGAGAAACACAAAAAAGGCCAGAAGGAGATTAAGAGATGATTAAAATATTGAAGTTATCCCAACAATGACTTTAGAGTGGAAATAGCTGTTTTTACGAGAATGGAACATTGGTGGAGCATGCTTTTAATCCCTAGTGCTTAAAAGGCAGGTGGATCTTTAGGAGTTCAAGGCCAGCCTAGTTTACATAGCAAGACTTAGTCCTAAAAGAGAAAGTACGAATAATTTCACAAAATAACACATTTTTTTTAGTTTTAAAGGATTTAATTTTTGTTTATTTTTAATATAATTTTTTATTTATTACAATATCCCAGCTGTATCCCCATCCTCATTCCCTCCCAATCCTGTCCTCCTTCCCACCCTCATCTCCTCCCATGCCTTTTCCTCAGTCCACTGATAATGGAGGACCTCCTCCCATTCCATCTGACCTTAGCCTATTAGGACTGGCTGCATTGTCTTCTTATGTGGCCTGGTCAGGCTGCTCCTCCCTCAGGGGGAGGTGATCAAAGAGCCATCCCCTGAGTTCATATCAGAGACAGCCTGTCCCTGCTCCCCTTATTAGGGAGCCCATTTGTAAACTGAGCTGCCACAGGCTACATCTGTGCAGGGGTTCTAGGTTATCTCCATGAATGGTCCTTGGTTGAAGTATCAGTCTCAGGAAAGACCCTTAGGCTCAAATTTTTTGGTTCTGTTGTTCTCCTTGTGGAGCTCCAGAATCTTAATTACAAAAAAAAAAAAATTAGAAATTTAAACACAAAAGCTACAGAATTTTTAAATTAAGATGCAAGAAGATCATGCAACAAGAAAAGAAGAAAATATGGTCATGAACACTAAAGTTGGTCAGTAGGAGACATCAAATCTAAATAATAATTTGGCAATGAGTGGGTGAAGTGAAGTTTTTTTTATTAAATTTTTATTTTTATATTAATTACAGTTTATTCACTTTGTATCCCAGCTGTAGCCCCTTCCCTCATCCCCTCCCAATTTCACCCTCCATCCCTCATCTCCTCCTATGCCCCTCTCAAAATCCACTGATAGGGGAGGTCCTCCTCCCCTTCTAGCTTATCAGGTTTTATCAGAACTGGCTGCAATGTCCTCCTCTGTGGCCTGGCAAGGCTCCATCCCCCATCAGGGGGAGGCAGTCAAAGAACTCTCCACTGAGTTCGACATGTGAGGTTTTTACATAAGTGTCTTTAACTTTAAAAAATGTAAATCTAAAGATGCAGTTTTAGGAATGGAGCTCATAGACAGTAAGTTAAAGGGGAAAAAATTATCCTAAATTGGTAGAAAATATGAATTTACATGTTCAAGGATAGTGTCCAGTCCAAAGGATGAATGCAAAGGAAGACACTAGGCTGTCAAATGGCGGGCTGGAAGTGTATCTCTAAGTATCTAGAGGAAAATACAGAAGCAAATCTAAGACAGTTTGCCAGGAAGCATGACAACATAGAAATACTGAAATTCTAAGCATGAAAGAACCAGAGAACTTGGATATATCAACTTTTCCAATAGAAATAAAGAGAAACTAATGCTTTCATACTAAAAAGAAAGCAGGAGAAGAGAGTTTGGTGCTGAGCCTCATAATGAGCTACCTCCTCTATACAGACATTTGCAAGTTAATCCATTCCCTAGATGTATCAAAACTGATCAAAATGTCCATGAACCTTAGTTAACTTTCCTAAACGATACAGTCAGGACATGTGGCACTTGTTGACCATGGTGTGTGATCGGGTGTGGTGCCAGATTCACTAAGTTATGCAGGAAAGGTTCAGAACAGTGCAGGCTTTTCCGAGACACATCCTGCAGGGAAGTAGGATGAAAGCCATCATCTAAAGACTCAGAGCCATCCCAGAAGTGGCATGGCTGTAAGAGCCAGGTTTTCAAACACACCCTTACATCGGATGATGAGATCAAGCAGAGGCCTGCGGCTCAACATTAATCGTTGTAGTATCTTTTCTTTTGGCATAGATTTCACTGACAGGCTCCAGCGGTGTCCCAGGGAGAGTCCAGCTGTTAGTCAGAGGGAAGGCTGTTCTTCCGGCGCTGTGACTAAAGCATTGCAGCGTAATGTGGACAGCTGATATGTTTGAAGTTGATTCATGCCTCAAGTATAGCAGCAACTCTCAGTAATTCTTCAAAGTCCAAAAACGACACCGGGTGTACAAAGTTTTAGATATTACCAGTGCTTAATACTGAAAATAAAGGTTTAAAATGCTTCCCCAGCTGCCTACTGTAAGGACAGAGACAGGTGTCATGCCCTACGGCCAGATGGTCATGCAGTGTTTGAACTGTGCTCTGCCACTTACCTAGTATCTGGCCCTGAGATGTTCTTGTGACTATCACAAATGAGCGTACCTGGTATTGATGCTGGGACAGTTGAAATAAAATTGATACAATAAGAATTTACTAGTAAATGTGTTCAGGAAGCATTATGTTATACAAGGTTGGATTTAGCCAAGGAGCTCTGCCCCGAGTACAGCTGGGAGATAAGGAGTACACTGAGCATGCTCGTTAGCTAAAGGAACACCAACTCCAATATGACTAGAGATAAAGAGTATACTACCAGGCTTGTTAGAAACCATAGACAGAAAAAAAATGTACTATAATTGAAGTTTAGGCTTGCTGAGAAAGTTTCTGCTAATGTTCGGTCATCAACATTGACCTCCAATTACATTCTATTTCTATAACAAAAAGAGACAACCCTGACATACAACAGGTCATTGGGCCCATCTCCCAATTAAAGGCCTGTCTCTAAGGGCAGCTCCAGGGGGCAGGGCAGCACAGGGTAGTATAATTCTGCCAGCTGGACAAGAGAACAAGACCAGTGTGCTTGAGAAACTATTCTGGCAGTATCTTTGCTGTATGAATCTCCTATCTGCCCAGGCAGATAGACTTACAGTTTCCTGTGTCTATTAAAACTGTCAAATGTGTAATCTGGGCCAGGACCAGAAAGAGGTTTAAGGGTGACAGCCTATACAGAATACAGTTGTAAATAAGTTAGTAAAATCTGTTTGTGGATGGGTCTTCTTGGTCATTGGCCAGAGATGAGCATGTGTTATCCTTAAAGAGTGCTGTTTTGTTTTCCTGAAGGTATGGAGGGTGGGGGATGGAGATTTCTGCCTCAAAATGCAGTCTCTGGCAGTTCCTGGGACCATCACAAATGAAAAGAAAATTGCTTTCTTTCTTGTAGCTGTTAGGAATTTAAGAGAACTAACACATGTCAAGTGTATAGTTTTCATCCATAAATAGAACTAATGTCTGCTTATTATTGCCTGAATGTACTTGCTGTGGGGTAGAATCAAGATATTTATGCACTAGCTTCCTTTAATAAATAGTCCATGAATTTAGCTGCTAGCATTTAATTCAGTGAGACACATTTTTAACAGGAGTATGATGAGATTTATAACTCAAATGAGAATAGAAATATGTGATTAAATACATCTCATAGAACAAAGTGAAACCTCACCCTCTTCACATTTACCCCAGTGCAGTATGGAAAATAAAAGCAGTTTAGGTTCATAGTTATCATTCCAAAAATAGTGACAGTTGTCTTTGACTGCAAGATTGAGTTAAAAAAAAAATCTTCAAAAGCTACCAAGTCATCCTTACTCTGTAATTCACAGAGGAAAGCAGAAAACCTCTGCCTGCTTTAATGAACCTCTCCACTAAAAAATGAAAATTCATGATTGAATTCATAAATTAACATATATTCCTTTAAAATCATGCTTAATCAGTTATTCTTTGATCACCTCCTTCTGGAGGGGGGGGGG